ACAATAATTAGTAACGCCTGAGTCACCTTAGAAGCTTATACATAAGGGAATGTACATGAAAACAGCATACTAAGTACACTGGACAATTTATTGGTGCCTCTGTATTAGCATTATAAGTGACAATATGTTCAGAATTGTGTGTATTGATCAGACATTTATTTGATCATTTAAATAGGCTAGCGTAGACAAAATATTGGTCAACATGAACACTCATGAGAAATAAATGAGAAATAATGGTGAGAGATCCAAAATTATTAGAGCCATAAGCCTAATATAGGCACCCGGCCAACCTACAGTTTGAGGGACCCCATTGATTCGTACAATTTGTAACACTCATCTCCCGTCCGAATGCTTGAAAAAAACTAAAAAGTACAGTGAGGGAAAAAAGTATTTGATCGCCTGCTGATTCTGTACGTTTGCCCACTGACAAAGAAATGATCAGTCTATAATTTTATTGGTAGGTGTATTTGAACAGTGAGAGACAGAATAACAACAAAAAAATCCAGAAAAACGCATGTCAAAAATGTTATAAATTGATTTGCTTTTTAATGAGAGAAATAAGCATTTGACCCCCTCTCAATCAGAAAGATTTCTGGCTCCCAGGTGTCTTTTATACAGGTAACGAGCTGAGATTAGGAGCACACTCTTAAAGGGAGTGCTCCTAATCTCAGCTTGTTACCTGTATAAAAGACACCTGTCCACAGAAGCAATCAATCAATTAGATTCCAAACTCTCCACAATGGCCAAGACCAAAGAGCTCTCCAAGGATGTCAGGGACAAGATTGTAGACCTACACAAGGCTGGAATGGGCTACAAGACCATCGCCAAGCAGCTTGGTGAGAAGGTGACAACAGTTGGTGCGATTATTCGCAAATGGAAGAAACACAAAATAACTGTCAATCGCCCCCTCGGCCTGGGGCTCCATGCAAGGTCTCACCTCGTGGAGTTGCAATGATCATGAGAACGGTGAGGAATCAGCCCAGAACTACACGGGAGGATCTTGTCAATGAGCTCAAGGCAGCTGGGACCATAGTCACCAAGAAAACAATTGGTAACACACTACGCCGTGAAGGACTGAAATCCTGCAGCGCCTGCAAGGTCCCCCTGCTCAAGAAAGCACACATACATGCCCGTCTGAAGTTTGCCAATGAACATCTGAATGATTCAGAGGAGAACTGGGTGAAAGTGTTGGGGTTAGATGAGACACAAATGGAGCTCTTTGGCATCAACTCAACTTGCCGTGTTTGGAGGAGGAGGAATGCTGCCTATGACCCCAAGAACACCATCCCCACCGTCAAACATGGAGGTGGAAACATTATGCTTTGGCAGTGTTTTTCTGCTAATGGGACAGGACATCTTCACCGCATCAAAGGGATGATGGACGGGGCCATGTACCTTCAAATCTTGGGTGAGAACCTCCTTCCCTCAGCCATGGCATTGAAAATGGGTTGTGGATTGCTATTCCAGCATGACAATGACCCAAAACACACAGCCAAGGCAACAAAGGAGTGGCTCAAGAAGAAGCACATTAAGGTCCTGGAGTGGCCTAGCCAGTCTCCAGACCTTAATCCCATAGAAAATCTGTGGAGGGAGCTGAAGGTTCGAGTTGCCAAACGTCAGCCTTGAAACCTTAATGACTTGGAGAAGATCTGCAAAGAGGAGTGGAACAAAATCCCTCCTGAGATGTGTGCAAACCTGGTGGCCAACTACAAGAAACGTCGGACCCCTGTGATTGCCAACAAGGGTTTTGCCACCAAGTACTAAGTCATGTTTTGCAGAGGGGTCAAATACTTATTTCCCTCATATAAAATGCAAATCAATTTATAACATTTTTGACATGCGTTTTTCTGGATTTTTTTTGTTGTTATTCTGTCTCTCACTGTTCAAATAAACCTAACATTAAAATTATAGACTGATCAAGTCTTTGTCAGTGGGAAAATGTACAAAATCAGCAGGGGATCAAATACTTTTTTCCCTCACTGTAACAAAATGTGATATCATATCACGTAAAAGTGAATTACTTAGGCTTTAGGAAATGCAACCAACTACAGAGATTGATGGGAAGGGGAGTGGGAGAGGAGGGGGACCCATGTACCCCGCTTCAATCAAGCAGGCTTCAGTCACCCACTTGGCTTCAGGCATCCCCACTTTAATTTGGCACTCTGAAATTCAAGTACTGGAATACCTTGAAAATCAGACATTTTTTCAAGTTGGTCCTTGAAAAGTATGTTATATATGAAAAAAATCAGAAGAATGTATTGGTCTTGCAAATTAATTTCCAGGCAGACTACAGAGTTATATTTCCTCAAGTGTTTCGGGCTCTGGTTGCCAGGCGAGCTCGCTCATTCCACCTACACTGCCACTCAGCCAGGCAGGTACAGAACTGACTGATTAGGCGCCGCCAAACGTCACATCGATAGCTAAAATGCCGGGCAAATGTAGATTCAGTTCTGCCTGGCAGGATATTGATGTTTATAAATGGGTTTTGCCAGGTTATAAAGGCACGTAAACACAGTTTACGCACATTTGTATTTGTGAAATAGCGTTTACCCACTTATTGCATTCCCAGCGTTGATCAACGCTCAGAAGGCTTGATCTGTGTTATAATCGCGCCTACCTCTGCGAACGACTGGCATCATGAATGATTCATGTATGCTTGTTACGTTCGCCTGCTCCCTCGGATTTGCCTTGTTAGCAGCTCATTCATTCACCATTCAAACCAACTTCCTCAGCCCAGACCTACATTGGCAAGTGGCAGAGAGATGCCGCTGACAGTGGAAATTGTTTCAAAATCCCTCGACTCCCCAAACAAAACCCCCCTGACTCTCAGAGAATGAGTGTACAACTGGTAAATAGTCACTGATATTTCAGTCAGATGTCTAGCTAACGTTAGCTAGGTAGCTCAAGGGCTCTGGCTGTTAGCCAGGTAGCTAGCTATAACTAGCTGGCTAGAAGGAGGAAGTTAGAAGCTAACGTTGAACAGTGCCTGACCTCAGCAAGAGCAGTTCACTGAAGTTAAGCTAGCTATAATCAAAAGAGGGGCTACTATAAGTTCTCATAACAAAATACCTTTTATTTACAGAGTGGTGAGTCAGGGTGTAATGAAGGAGGCAAAGATACACTGAGAGAGGAAGCATTGAAGCAATCAGGGAGAGAGGTTAGTAGTACAAGTGGTTCCCAAACTGGGGGTCGGGGACCCATGTGGGATCCCAAAAAAGTTATAGGGTCCTCCTGAGAGAATCTGTAATCTTATCAAGCACACATTAATAACTTGTTTCTCTTCAAATGGGTATAGAATACAACATTTTATAGTCAATTAAGGGCCTTTTACTCTCAGAATTCACTTTCATGTCATTATGTGTTGGGACAGCCTGTGGGACCTAACATTTAGTGAAATATAAAGACAATTTTAAATATAAAGACAGTTTCATATTATCATGTACACTGAACAAAAATATAAATGCAACATGCAACAATTTCAAAGATTTTACTGTTACAGTTCATATAAGGACATAAGTCAACATCATCAGTACTGACCACTCCTGTATGTAGTAAATAATTAGTTCAAACACGTATTATTGAGTGAAACTTTTAAGATAGTGATGAATAGTACGTTTTTTGGGGGGGGGTTGTGATGATATACCGCCATCCCCCAGATCCACTGTTAATGACGGTACAGCATCCGTCTTCAGGATTAGCGTCCTGGCAAGACCCATGGAATGTTCTCCTCAATTGATAAAGCAACTTTGCTCGAAATGTGCACTGCACACGCGTGACATAATCATAATTTCTTGTGCAGCCTGTCCATCCGAAATGAAAAACAGCCACTGCTGTCTGATGTCTTCATTCTTCGGAAAATAGTGTAACGTTAAATTAACACTATGCCATCCAGTTACAGTGTGCTTTTTCCGGCATGCTGGTAAGTAGCTTGCTCGCTAAAAGTCACAAGACCGATGAAAAGGGGTTAGTTACCAGCCATGTTCTGCTTGAGCAATCTTACTGTTTGTAAGCAAAGCCCTGTGATGTGCACGTGATGAGTTTAAGGCGTTACCACTGCTTGTCTTGAGTACAGTCGCCTAAAATGTTCAACTGCTTGAGCTCCTGTTCCTCTTATAGAATATTAGCTCATATATATTGTGGAGCTCCTGCACCTAAATATGAACTGTACCGGCACCCAAAATGAGTACCTTACCTATTTCAGTCCGAGTCAAGCACTGGGCGTTACATATTTAAATTAGTAAAAAATGATATGACTTGCATAATGCTGGAAGTAATGCCTGTCTCCTGAATCCAAGCGTTTGACATTGGGGGAGGGGACCAGTTACTTTATGATCAACTTTGTCAATTTACCAGCTACAGTAATTTTTCGTACTTGGTTCAATCTACTATGAATTGGTTTCATGGAAATATCATCCAAATATCATCCCTAACCCTCACTCTTCAGGACCGTTTTAAGAAAATTATCGGAACTGAAATCGAAAACCGTGATTATTTTGTAATAATCAAACCAAAACCAAACCGACCTCAAGAAGCACTAGTCGCTCAGCACTATACCTTTACATATCCCCCCCCCCCTCTCTGTCTCGAGCTGCAGTGCAGCAGGACCATGTAGAGAGAACCTAGTAGCAGCACTCTTACTTCCTCTCTCTCTTGCTCTCTTTTTTCTGTCTCTCTTCCCTGCACCATTCTATCTTGTTCATCCCAGCCTATATGGTTTCCTAACTATTATATGGGAGGTAGGCTAGGTACAGTGGATAGTAGAGAGAGGCTACTGAAAGTTGAATGCCCCGCTCTTTCTTTACTCCACAGTAAAGCAGGTGTGTGGGTGGGTGTAAACCTATAGAATATTTAGAGGTTCAAGTGTAAGGTGGTGTCTGTGCAAAAATGGTGATAGAAGTGTATATGTTCTCGCTCTGTCTCTCCCTTTCCATCCCCCCCCTCACGCATTTTCATCGCCTTTCTTCACCTCTAATACACCACGAGCTCAGCCACCATGAATAATGCAAGGCACCGAGTTCAAACCTCACACACACTCACCCACAGTCACTCACTGCGATGTGTTGTGTTGCAGTAATCTGCCAGCGAAGCCTGCAGAGGAGGCCCAGAAACACAGACAACAGTATGAGGAGATGGTGGCCCAGGCCAAGAAGAGAGGTGTGTATTTATATGTATTCATCTGGATCATATCTGGCCATTTTAGATGGATATTCCCTCACTCCCACTGCTCTTAGAAATCCTCCTTTCTGTCATGACAACTCATAGTCAAAAGAAATGGAATGCGTTTCCAGCTTTTTAGTTTACACAGGCAGCCCAATTCTGATATTTTGCCCAATTACTGGGAAAATTAGCTGATCTGATTTGTGGAAAGAAATCTGAATTGGGCTGCCTGTGTAAACGCAGCCTTGGATACTTTTATAATAGCTGATCAATTTTGACTGCTCTCCATCGTGAAAAATGACTGGAAGGGTACCCACTATACTGTTTCAACCATGACATCCTTACAGATCAGTGGTCTTAGAAGGATACTACAGTATATAATGGTGACATACAGTGCATTCGGAAAGTATTCAGACCCCTTGACTTTTTCCACATTTTGTTACGTTACAGCCTTATTCTGAAATGTCTTAAATAGTTTTTCCCCCTCATCAATCTACACACTACCCAAAATGACAAAGCAAAAACTGGTTATCACATTTACATATGTATTCAGACCTTTTACTCAGTACTTTATTGAAGCGCCTTTGGCAGTGATTACTGCCTCAAGTCTTCTTGGGTATGACGCTACAAGCTTGGCACACCTGTGTTTGGGGAGTTTCTCCCATTCTTCTCTGCAGACCCTCTCAAGCTCTGTCAGGTTGGATGGGGAGCGTCGCTGCACAGCTATTTTCAGGTCTCTCCAGATGTGTTAGACTGGGCCACTCAAGGACATTCAGAGACTTGCCCCGAAGCCACTCCTGCGTTGTCTTGGCTGTGTGCTTAGGGTCGTTGTCCTGTTGGAAGGTGAACCTTCGCCCCAGTCTGAGGTCCTGAGTGCTCTGGAGCAGGTTTTCATCAAGGATCTCCCTGTACTTTGCTCCATTCATCTTTCCCTTGATCCTGACTAGTCTCCTGGTCCCTGCCTCTGAAAAACATCCCCACAGCATGATGCTGCCACCACAATGCTTCACCGTAGGGATGGTGCCAGGGTTCCTCCAGACGTGAAGCTTGGCATTCAGGCCAATGAGTTCAGTCTTGGTTTCATTGAGAGTCGTTTAGGTGCCTTTTGGCAAACTCCAAGCGGGCTGTCATGTGCCTTTTGCTGAGGAGTGGCTTCCGTCTGGCCACTCTACCATAAATGCCTGATTGGTGGAGTGCTGCAGAGATGGTTGTCCTTCTGGAAGGTTCTCCCATCTCCACAGAGGAACTCTGGAGCTCTGTCAGTGACCATCGGATTCTTGGTCACCTCCCTGACCAATGCCCTTCTCCCCCAATTGCTCAGTTTGGCCAGGCGGCCAGCTCTAGGAAGAGTCTTGGTGGTTTCCAAACTTCTTCCATTTAAGAATGATGGAGGCCGTAGTGTTCTTGGGGACCTTCAATGCTGCAGAAATGTTTTGGTACCTTAACCAGAAAATTTCTAAAAACCTGTTTTTGCTTTGTCATTATGGTGTATTGTGTTTAGATTGTTCAGGGGGAAAAAAAACTATTTAATCAATTTTAGAATAAGGCTGAAATGTAACATTTTTTGGAGAAGGGGTCTGAATACTTTCCGAATGCACTGTAATACTTCAAATGTAATAATATAATGCCATTTAGTGGATGTTTTTATCGAAAGTCACTTACTGTCATGCGTGCAATTGTTTTTAAACATATGGATGGTCCTGGGAATCAGGCCAACTATCCTGGCGTTGCAAGCACCACGCTGTACCAACTGAGCTACAGAGGACCACATGTTTCTATTATAATGTTGTCTAACACACTCTTTCCTCCCTCCCTCGTTCCCTCCCTCTGTAGAGCTCAAGGAGGCCCAGAAGAGGAGGAAGCAGCTGGAGGACAGGTGCAAGCTGGAGGAGAGCATAGGCAACGCCGCCCTGACCTGGAACCAGGAGATTCTGCCCAACTGGAGTGCCATGTGCACATCTCGGCGGGTCAGGGAGCTCTGGTGGCAGGGAGTGCCCCCAAGCGTCAGGGGCAAGGTCTGGAGCCTGGCGGTGGGCAACGAGCTCAACATCACCCACGGTACTACACGTCCGCACACACACACCTCTCACTGTAGGCATGAGAGAGACTGCACTGAATTATACACACCTCATATCACATATCACACCCGGGGTGCGTATGTGGGAGGGAAAGAGAGAACTTATAATACTGTATATACCGGAGGTCTTAATTTCAGCATGTCATTGAAAAACCACCCCCTCTGGTGGCCCATTTTGGTTGTGACGGCCAAACCAAATGGAATCGTGTATCAATGTGACACGCGCAGTGGTCTTATAAATTGACAATTTGTCTTGGTCTGTGTAATTCAGTTACAACACCAAAGATAGATTGAAGAGGAAGAGGGAAGGTACACGGCTGAATGCTCTCCTGATACAAGAGAGAACGACCAGCATCCCAATTAGTTCACACTGACTCTGATTCAACTGGACACACACGCAAATACGTGCCCTTCACTTTCACTGGAATCTTCATATTAATACCTCCACACAGACTTGCAGTGTGTGTGTGTGTGTGTGTGTGTGTGCGCTCTCTCTCTTCTCTCTCTCACACATTTGCACTACTGAGGTGAAAATCTCTCAGAGGGACTTGCAGATAAGCCCCCCTAACTCCTGAGGTGAGCTACACGGCACTATAATAACCATACTAATCAACCTATATCACTCCCTCTTATGTATACTCACAGGGATTTTTCTGTTTTTTTTGAAATACTTGGAGCGTTATTTACGGTCGCCTATGTCCAAACAGTGTTTTTGTAATGAATTTTCGGGATGGAAAAACGTTTTCAGTGTAAACTTAAACGACTAAAACCTGATTTAAAGTATGTAGAAAACATAATGGACCTTAATTGTTTTATTAATATATTATTTGAGAACTAACAATTACCAAAATAGAAGGTAGACAATCAGGGAGAATTGACAATTCCAAAAATAAGGAATTTAACAGTATTGATTTTTGTTATGTTTGAGCAAAAGAACACAGCATTAGTCATGGCAAAATGCATAGAATTGCAGGAAATTAACTTTAAAACTGCAACATTTTCTCTCGGCTCCAAGGCAAAATATGTATAATTGCAGGAAATTAGCTTTAAAACTGCAAAAATGTCTCTCGGCTCCATGGAGGAATGTGTAGAATTGCAGGAAATTGGACTTAAAAATGCCAAACATTTCTCTACACCGCCAAGATGGGGGCCTCTAAAATGTTCTCTGAAATTCAGCTGCGCCGACCGCACCCATTGCCACGCCCACCACTTTTTGATCCAGAAAAAACCCCTGACTCATATGCCACTGCTTTTCTGAATACCTAAACTATTCCATCTGTCTATGAGCAGAGCTAAACCAAGAGCCATTGATCTACATATATACCTCCAATACAATATGAATGCATTCATCTATTGCTCTGGCAAATAATCAGAGGTGAAGTACAGATTCAGCAACCCTCGGAGGACAATGAAAGCTTATTTATTGTGTACAAGTAAAAACCAAGTTTTGACTCTTGGCCTTCACCAGAGTTCTACAGATAGAAGAAAGAATGAGGATTTCAATCGGAAGTGTCCATCTGAGTTTCTCGCCGCTGTTCCACAGTCCCTTTATCTACACATGGTCATGTGGGCGAGGCATAGCTAGTGCTAGTTAGGGTTCATAATACAGAGACAATATTGGTCTGTAAATGCTCTTGTTCTTCCATAAAGAGCCGAATACCAGTATACCAGCTTTGCTAACGTCATCACAAGGTGACTCAGGGTTGTGAATGAGGCATGGCCTGTGTCCCAAATAGCACCCTATTCCCTATATGGTGCCATGGTCTATTATGTAGAAATATCTCATTACACAGATTCAATTACTCCTCACTAGAGGGCAGCGCCAGGTCTAGGAGAAGGCCAGTAGATAAGCACAGCACCATTGAGACACTGAATAGCTCTTTGGGAATGTATTCAGGCTTGATGTGCTGCAGCAGAAGGCTTTTAGATAGCATTACTGTCATTGGCGTAGTCCCGGTCTGTGATTTACTCCAATGTTAATTGGCTCAAGGGCAGGTTTTATTTTGTGTGTGTGCGTGCGTCTGTGTGTGCATGCGTGCGTGGGCTTATATCTGTGTGTATGTGTAATAACAGGCCTAAAGTTGTGATGTATTCTATTTGTCCACAGAGCTGTTTAACATCTGTCTGGCCAGGGCAAGGGAGAAGTGGAAATCTATGCCTACTGCACCACCCACTGAACCAGAGGCTGAAGGTAGTGATTGATTGATTGATTGATATATTAGGATTTATTGGGAGTATATATTCTTCTTTCTCTTTTCATCCTTTCATTTCTTTATCCCCTTCTTTTTCTGAAGTGCTATTGGAAACGTTTGACCTGTCTTACAAGTGGTGGAGAATTTCAATCTGACTCACATGGATTCTAAAATAGCCTGCAGAATGTTACAGAACATAAAGAAATGTGTGATTGTTGAATGATTCAATGTGTTTCTAACATGTTCTTCTATCTTCCCTGTGTTTGTGCGTGTGTGTGTAGATGCAGGTTTGTCTCTGGCGGACAGAGAGGCCAGTCTGGAGCTGATTAAACTGGACATCTCCAGAACCTTCCCACACCTCTGTATCTTCCAACAGGTCAGTGGCAGAACAACAACCACAACTGTTTATAAAATAATATACTACTACTACTACTAATAATAATAATAATATATGAACACTCTAGATTATCACTTTATTCAGTAGATAAAATTAAATGAATTGGTCTGTGTGTGTATGTGTTTGTTGTCGGAATGTGTGTGTGCGTATGTAGTGTAAGTGAATGTGTGTGGGTTTTGTGGGAGTGTGTGTATATATAGTATTGTGAGTGTGCATATAGAGTCAGTGCACATAGTCCGGGTGACCATGAATTAACTATTTAGCTTGGGGGTAGAAGCTGTCTCGAAGCCTGTTGGTCCAAGAGCTGATGCTCATGTACTGTTTGCCAGACGGAAGCAGATTGAACAGTCTATGGGTTGGGTGGCTGGAGTCTTAGGCAATTTTCTGTCCCTTTCTCTGACACCACCTGATACAGAGGTCCTGGATGGCAGGGAGCTCAGCTCCAGTGATGTACTGGGCTGTCTGCATCATCCTCTGTAGTGCTTTGCGGTCATGGGTGGTGCATTTTCCATACCAAGCGATGATGCAGCCAGTCAAGATGCTCACAATGGTGCAGCTGTAGAACTTTTTAAAGATCTGAGTAGGGCTGTTGCGTTGACCGTATTACCGCAACACACCGGCGGTCAAGAGTCATGAAGGCAGTCAAATTCCACGTGACCATTTAGGCACGGTAATTCGGCTTCTCCAAGCTCTGATGCTGTTGGGCATTAGTAGCCTACCAAACTTGCTAACTGCCTGGTACTCAGCACTCTATTGTCCCTCTAATCACTCTGACATCAATGCAAATGTAATCGAAAATCTAATCAAACACTTAATGAGAGCCCATGTGCTCATGTTGCGCAACATTTCAATAGGCTATGCAATTGCGGCAGAAAACAGAGTGATGGCCTCTACTAAAAAGAGGAGGATCCCATCAGCTTTCTATAGGCTAGGCCTACTATATTTATTTCTCAACTTTCCTAATATTAAGCAAATATTAAGCACATTGCTTATCTTTACAACAGGAGTATAGCCTACCTGGCTGGCATGAAAATTAACCACAGGAAAAGCGTCCTCCATTCGCTATTTAAGTGCAGAGATGACATGTATTTTTTTCCCCTGCCCCTGTTTCGAGACCGGTGCATGATAATGGTCCATTCTAAATCAAAATTACATTCACACATATATTATTTAATATATGTAAAGACAAGTTTAAGTTTAAGAATAGTCTGATGGGTTACAATATTAGCCTATCACTTGTGAATTATATATTATCACTTGTGAATGATGCCCAGCTTAAGGCAAGAAACAATGCCTTTTTTTGGTGACTTTTTCGAATCATAGTCCCACACCTCATGTAGCCTAGCCCATAGGCCTATATGTTTTGATAAGGTTTGTATCACAACTAAAGTGGCCAAATAACTTCTTAAAATTAAGCACATTAATCCGCTTTACAACGGGTGTAGAGCCTAACTGGCATACAATACTGTATGCAGTGCGTGACTTACAAGTTTGGGGAAGTTAATTTTCACCATAAATATGCACCTTTATAATAAAAGCATTACACGCATAATCGCATTTGTGGTCACTTTTGATAATGGTGTTTTCCCGCGAATGGAACATTCGTGTTTATAGCCTACTGCCGTGTCCGCATTGCTGCGCTTATAATGTGAAGAAATAGCCTAATAGTTTATCAACATGTTAAGCTAAACATTCTGATCTGTTGCATCAGCCTCATTGCGTAAATAATATTTTTTTGATACTAGTGGTTGTATTAATTTGGGATCTATCGCATCCCACAACTGTCCCAGACTATGTTTGGAATATTTATTTCTCGTCACAGAATAGGTCGATTTTTGTACTATGGGGGATAGTAGATTGATATAGGCTAGTGCTTTTGCTGTTCGTTAGGTCTACTCATCTTGTTGGCTGACGAAAGTAAATGTGGACAGTTCTTAAAATATCTTCAATATGCACCTCGGTATTGGATAAGGACGCGCGCCGTTGCATCCCCGATGTGTCTCTTCACTTGTAGCCTGTGAGAAAGACCCGATCACGTGATGGAGAGCGGTGTGAGTGAGATGAGAGGTGCTACGGAGTCGGCAGCACTCAGGGAGAAGGGCTGCAAAAGGCATGGATTCTTTTAGGGTGCATTATGGCCACACAAAGGGGATGCCGCCGGGAAAATCAAGACATTATCAAGTGCTTCTCAAATTGTGAATGAGAGACTGACGAAGTGTGTACAGCCTGCGCAAAAAAGCAAAGCAGAGCTCATGCCTTTTCAAGTGACTTTTTTCAAATCATCATTAGTCGCATCGTGCAGCCCTATAATGTATTAAAAATCTAAATATATTGCCCAACGTTTGTAGAACAACTAAAGTTACATTTAATAACTCTAAATTAAGCATATAGGAGTGAGTACCTATTTCTTTGTTAACCGCACAACACAGAATAGCCGCATGTGTGCACTCCCTCAAATCGTTTGGAGAAATATCCTTTCTATTTTATTCAGCTTTGTTCAGTATTCTTCATACTATAAAATAATCTAAAATAATGCCACGGAATTCTAAGCAAATCTTGTCTGCTAAATGAACTAGTGTAGCCCACAGCCATATGGCATAGCCAGATCAGGACCTAACATAAGGACAACTCAGAGTATGCTATTCTGTTCATCTGAAATAGACTACATTTTCTTCATATCATGTTTCTTTAGACCTGTCTAAAATAAATAATGGGTTTATTGTGAAGGTGTAGGCTATATTACATGGATTTATTAGACTTTTTAAAATGTAGATGTTCCAAATGTCTGCATCAGTGGCTTGTAGGCTATGTTGTGGAAGCCAGGTGATGCTAAATGTGTTTATGTTAATTAACGGTCAATTACTGGGAGACCGACAGTTAATTGCTTGACATTCACCGGCTGACGACATTTCGTGACCGCCACAGCCTTAGATCCGAGGGCCCATGGCAAATCTTTTCAGCCTCCTGAGTGGGAGGAGGCCCTGTCGTGCCCTCTTCACGACTGTGTGGGTGTGTGTGGACCATGTTAATTCCTTAGTGATGTGGATGCCAAGGAACTTCAAGCTTTCGATCCGCTCCAGTACAGCCCTGTCGATGTGGATGGGGGAATGCTCAGCCCTCTTTATCCTGTCTTACTGATCTTACTGACGTTGAGGGAGAGGTTGTTGTCATGGCACCACACTGCCAAATCTCTGACCTCCTCCCTGTAGGTTGTCTCATCGCTGTCTGTGATCAGGTCTACCGACGTTGTGTTGACAGCAAACTTGATGGTGTTGGAGTCGTGCGTAGCCACACAGTTGTGGGTGAACAGGGAGTACGGGAGGGGACTAAGCACACACCCTTGAGGGGCCCCTGTGTTGAGGGTCAGTGTGGCGGAGGTGTTGTTGCCTACCCTCACCACCTGGAGCTGTCCCATCAGGCGAGTCCATGATCCAGTTACAGAGGGAGGTGTTCAGTCCCAGGGTCCCCAGTTTAGTGATGAGCTTGGAGGGGTCTATGGTGTTGAACACTGAGCTGTAGTCTATGAACAGCATTCTCACAGTTATTTCCCCTCTTGTCCGAGTGGGAGAGGGCAGTGTGAAGTTCAATTGAAATAGCATTATATGTGGATCTGTATGCGAATTGGGATGGGTCCAGGTTGTCTGGGATGATGGTGTTGATGTGTATCATGACCAGCCTTTCAAAGCGCTTCATAATTACAGATGTGAGTGATACAAGGTGATCGTCATTTAGACAGGTTACCTTGGAGCTCTTGGGAACAGGGACAATGGTGGTCAGCTGGAAACATGTTGGGATTACAAATTGGGACAAGGCGAGATTGAAAATGTCAGTGAAGACACCCTGGTATTCCGTCTGTTTTTTTCCAATGGTAATTAGCAGAAGAAAATAATTTAAGGTGTTAAAATTCCTGCTGTGTTTGGACAGGGAGGTCCATACTACGACGTGCTGCACAGCATCCTGGGAGCATACACCTGCTATAGGCCAGACGTTGGCTACGTAAGTACACACACACACTTTATGAATTCCTCATTGGTCTACGTCTGTGCCTTTGTGTGAATGCGAAGTGTCTCAGTATTAATGCCTTTCGTCAGAAGCAGAAGGGGCCCCTACACAATAAGTGCTTTATCAGAAACCATTCCTTCGATATCAGTCCTATGGTGTAAGGTCATAGAAAAGCACTGTATCTTAGGCTATAAACGAAGTGGCTGTGAGTCATACGTTAGCCTAGGGTTTTGTCCCAAATGGTACCCTATTCTCTATATACTGCACTACTTTTAACTAGAGCCCTATGGGCCCTGGTCAAAAGTAGGGCACTATATAGGGTATAGGTTGTCATTTGGGACAAGCCTCTCTGCTCTATGTAACAGCCAGTATTTGTAGTGTCTGAGAGAGACGAGCAGCAGGCCTCCATCGCTCCAACAAGATGAGTCATACCTTTCTGATATACAGTACCAGTCAAAAGTTTGGACACATCTACTCATTCAAGGGTTTTTCTTTATTTTTACTATTTTCTACATTGTAGAATAATAGTGAAGACATTAAAACTATTAAATAACACATATGGAATCATGTAGTAACCAAAAAAGTGTTAAACAAATCAAAATATATTTTAGATTTTAGATTCTTCAAAGTAGCCACCCTTTGCCTTGATGACAGCTTTGCACACTCTTGGCATTCTCTCAACCAGCTTCACCTGGAATGCTTTTCCAACAGTCAGTTCCCATATATGCTGAGCACTTGTTGGCTGCTTTTCCTTCACTCTGCCGTCCGACTCAACCCAAACCATCTCAATTGGGTTGAGGTCGGGGGATTGTGGAGGCCAGGTCATCTGATGCAGCACTCAATCACTCTCCTTCTTGGTAAAATAGCCCTTACACAGCCTGGAGGTGTTGTGGGTCATAGTCCTGTTCAAAAACAAATGATAGTCCCACTAAGCGCAAACCAGATGGGAGGCGTATCGCTGCAGAATGCTGTGGTTAAGTGTGCCTTGAATTCTAAATAAGTCACCGACAGTGTCACCAGCAAAGCACCATCACACCTCCTACTCCATGCTTCATGGTGAGAAACACACATGCAGAGATCATCCGTTCACCTGTTCTGCGTCTCACAAAGACACGGCGGTTGGAACCAAAAATCTCAAATTTGGACTCATCAGACCAAAGGACAGATTTCCACTGGTCTAATGTCCATTGCTCGTGTTTCTTGGCCCAAGCAAGTCTCTTCTTATTATTGGTGTCCTTTAGTAGTGATTTCATTGCAAGAATTTGACCACGAAGGCCTGATTCACGCAGTCTCCTCTGAACAGTTGATGTTGAGATGTGTCTGTTACTTGAACTCTGTGAAGCATTTATTTGGGCTGCAATTTCTGAGGCTGGTTACTCTAATGAACTTATCCTCTGCAGCAGATGTAACTTTGGGTCTTCCTTCCTGTGGAGGTCCTCATGAGAGCCAGTTTCATCATAGCGCTTGATGGTTTTTGCGACTGCACTTGAAGAAACTTTCAAAGTTCTTGAAATGTTCCGGATTGACTGACATTCATGTCTTAAAGTAATGATGGACTGTCGTTTCTCTTTGCTTATTTGAGCTGTTCTTGCCATAATATGGACTTGGTATTTTACCAAATAGGGCTATCTTCTGTACACCAACCCTACCTTGTCACAACACAACTGATTGGCTCAAACGCATTAAGAAGGAAAGAAATTCCACAAATTAACATTTAACAAGGCACACCTGTTAATTGAAATTCATTCCAGGTGAATACCTCATGAAGCTGGTTGAGCGAATGCCAAGAGTGTGCAAAGCTGTCATCAAGGCAAAGGGTGGCTACTTTGAAGAATCTGAAATATAAAATATATTTTGATTTGTTTAACACTTTTTTGGTTACTACATGATTCCATATGTGTTATTTCATAGTTTTGATGCCTTCACTATTATTCTACAATGCAGAAAATAGTAAAAATAGAGAAAATCCCTTGAATGAGTAGGTGTGTCCTAACTTTTGACTGGTACTGTTTTTGCCCACCCCACCTGGCCCTTTCTCTCTGTGTATGTTTATGTGCTTACATCTGTGTATTCCAATGCAGCACTGACCTAGCTGTTTCTATCTCTTTTGGTTGCATTCCTCATCATGCTCCTGGAACCTTCCACACAGTAGAACTATCAGATTACTAAGCCCACTTTTCAGCTCATTTGTTATTGCCTTTGAGTCTAATGAAATGAGTTGACAGTATGTGGTAAACGCCTCTAGTCAGTATACCCTGCTAGAGCTGTTTACTGTGGCTGCACCACACCACAGCCATGCTGAGAAACAGCACACAGTGTGTTTACAGAGAAATGGATCTTGACTTCTGGAGGAGTATTCTACAAAGCAAGATCAATGAGTTAGCCTCTGGCCTAAGTATTCTGAAATAACCTTGAAATGGACATGGTCTAATTGACTCAACAACCAAAAACGCATATCTATGTTTAGCTTTCTTAATGAACCAGAAATCAACAGTTATTTCTGGTTGTTTATGAAAGTTAACTGGCTAACAAATTGATCCTGCTTTGTACTATACACCCCTGGACTGACCATGTATGTCAGGCCTTAGGATACATTGAAGGCCTTAGGATAGATGGAGAGTTCAGGTTAAGTGTTATAGAATCTCCTTTTCCCCTTTGCATTATGACTAGTCCTCATAGTAAGGCTCCTAACACCACCCCACTACTATAACCGTAAACGTCACTAACACACTGTAGCTCTGTGTTAAGCGTTCTGAGATACAGTAGATCATCATAGCTACAGCACTGTAGCGCTACTAACATACACTTGTTCCTCCCTGGGGGTTCAGGTGCAGGGCATGTCGTTCATCGCGGCGGTGCTGATCCTCAACCTGGACACATCGGACGCCTTCATAGCTTTCGCCAACCTGCTGAACAAGCCCTGTCAGATGGCCTTCTTCAGAGTGGACCACAGCCTTGTGAGTATATTTTAGTCAGACACACACACACACACACACACACACACACACACACACACACACACACACACACACTCAGTTAGTTAGTAAGTTAATTGGATTTGGTGTTTGTGCTGGGCTGGAACAAAAGCCTGCACACCCTGTTGGCACTGAGTTACACAATACACCACCGCAATCATAGCACTTGGTACCCTGTTCGCAACTGTAGCCATGTCTTACTATGTTATTACAAAATTTGTCTGTCGTAGCTCCTAGATCAGGGCTATGTGGTTTATCTGACTCAGTTGTTTCTTCTTGCTTCTACCTCCTCAGATGTTGACGTACTTTGCAGCATTTGAAGTGTTCTTTGAAGAAAATCTACCAAAGCTGTTTGTACATTTCAAGGAAATCAACTTGACCCCCGATATTTATTTAATTGACTGGTAAGTCAGACCTCAATCTCTTTCTCCCTCTCTTTTTCTCTCTTAATCCTTTTTCTCATGTAAAATATGTGTATAATATGTACTCTACCGTTCAAAAGTTTGGGGGCAATAAGAAATGTTCTAGTTTTCGAAAGAAAAGCAATTTTTTTTGTCCATTAAAATAACATCAAATTGATCAGAAATACAGTATAGACATTGTTAATGTTAAAAATGGCTATTGTAGCTGGAAACGGCTGATTTCTAATGGAATATCTACATAGGCGTACAGAGGCCCATTATCAGCAACCATCAGTCCTGTGTTCCAATGGCACGTTGTGTTTGCTAATCCAAGTTTATCATTTTAAAAGGCTAATTGATCATTAGAAAACCCTTTTGCAATTATGTTAGCACAGCTGAAAACTGTTGTGCTGATTAAAGAAGCAATAAAACTGGCCTTCTTGAGACTAGTTGAGTATCTGGGGAGCATCAGCAATTGTGTGTTCGATTACAGGCTCAAAATGGCCAGAGACAAAGAACTTTCTTCTGAAACTCGTTGCAAAGAAAAAGCCATATCTCAGACTGGACAATAAAAAGAAAAGATTAAGATGGGCAGTCTGAGATATGGCTTTTTCTTTGCAACGAGTTTCAGTTGCAAAGTTGCAACGAGTTCATCCCGGAGTCGCCTCTTCACTGTTGACGTTGAGACTGGTGTTTTGCGGGCGCTATTTAATGAAGCTGCCAGTTGAGGACCTGTGAGGCGCCGGTTTCTCAAACTAGACACTAATGTATTTGTCCTCTTGCTTAGTTGTGCACAGGGGCCTCCCACTCCTCTTTCTATTCTGGTTAGAGCCAGTTTGCACTGTTCTGTGAAGGGAGTAGAACACAGCGTTGCACGAGATCTTCATTTCTCGCATGGAATAGCCTTCATTTCTCAGAACAAGAATAGACTGACTAGTTTCAGAAGAAAGTTATTTGTTTCTGGCCATCTTGAGCCTGTAATCGAACCCACAATTGCTGATGCTGCAGATACTCAACTAGTCTCAAGAAGGCCAGTTTTATTGCTTCTTTAATCAGCACAACAGTTTTCAGCTGTGCTAACATAATTGCAAAAGGGTTTTCTAATGATAAATTAGCCTTTTTAAAATGATAAACTTGGATTAGCAAATGCAACGTGCCATTGGAAAACACAGGACTGATGGTTGCTGATAATGGGCCTATGTAGATATTCCATTAATAATCAGCCGTTTCCAGCTACAATAGCCATTTACAACATTAGCAATGTCTACACTGTATTTCTGATCAATTTGATGTTATTTTAATGGACCAAAAAATTGCTTTTCTTTCGAAAACAAGGACATTTCTAAGTGACCCCAAACTTTTGAACAGTATTGTATTTTTGAAATAAGATCGGCTACCATTTACGAATATGAAAAAATATATGATTAAAATATTGACTCATTTTGTAGTCACTTTTTTTTCTCTGTTATTTTTGCCCTTCAGAATGTGTTATTGTGTACTGAGAAGACAGGATGTGTGAGTGGGTTTACTGGTGGTCTCCTCTCCCAACCTGTGCTCTCGCCACACAGCTTCCTGTTTTCACGTCAGTTACTTATACACTGATTGAGAGATGAGGGGAGGTGGATGTCAAGAAAGCAGCCCTGCAGACCTGAAATATCATAAGCTATTGGACCATGACACTAAATCCCATAAAACAAAAGTGTCCCAGGAAAATACATTTAATCTATAGATAGTTTGGGAATTTGCTGATTTACAGAGCCGTATCTGTTCAAATGCCATTGTCCTTATCTGCATTCTCTTTCTCAGACTCATAGGACTGTGTGTGCTTGTGTGCTCATTAGTGTATGCTTGGTGTGTTTGCGTCCATGTCTCCATGGACTACTCCCGTCCGTGAATGTGTTTGTGTGAAAATAACGCCAGGTTAACGCCAGGTATGGTCTCTTTGTACCTTTGTACCTCAATGCTTCAATATGAAAGGTGTATCCAAATGAAGTATGTCGCTCTCTCTCTCTTCTCTCTCACTCTTCTCTCTCTTTCATCTATCTATCTATATATAGGATCTTCACCCTGTACAGTAAGTCGCTGCCGTTGGACCTGGCGTGTCGGGTGTGGGACGTGTTCTGTCGTGACGGTGACGAGTTCCTGTTCCGGGTGGCCCTGGGCATCCTGCGCCTGTACGAAGACGTGTTGACCCGCATGGACTTCATCCACAACGCCCAGTTCCTCACCCGCCTGCCCGACCACATCCCCCCCGAACAGCTCTTCTCACACATCCACGCCGTCCACATGACCAGCAAGAACAGGAAATGGGCGCAGGTGAGATGACACAAATAGACATCTGATTTCCTCGATTTTTGTTTTTAGGAGGGATGTGCTAAGAAGCCCTCTGAGGCAGCTGACTTCAAAATAGTATCTTGAAAATATACATTATTTCAGGTGCGGCGCAACAGAGTTCGGAAGGTGGGGGAAAGGACACTTATGTCAACTATGGGTTTGTGCTTTGTTGGTTAGCAACACTGCCTATGTACAGCATTCTAAAGAATGAGGCTTGATGGAATTTCCTGGAAACCCTTTCCTATGTGATTGAATAAATGAGATTGCACCATGCTTCTTCCTTTTGAGTATGATATGAACTCAATGCTCCCTGTTTAACATGACTGATGTTTCCTTGTTTCTCCTCTGGTGTCCTCAGGTTCTTCAGGCCTTACAGAAGGAGCAGGAGCGGAACAGTCCAATCCTAAAGCACTGAGTCCAGTTATCCAGGAGCAAAACAACAGACACTAGCACATTCTCTAACCCAGTACTCCACCTGACCTTATGAAACGCTGGACTCTAGCCCAGGCCAGGCGGTGTGTGAGAGCTGCCCTCTAGGCCCCAGATAGACATGCCCTCCCTGGGATGGACCTACCCCAGGCTCGGAGCACTCAGGGATGAGGAAAATCAGCCACTGTGTTCCCCCTGGACCTGGTTTATGGAGCAGAGACCCTGGAGGTCTGGAAAAGACTGGGGTAAGGGGGGACAAGGACTTATTATAACCCACCACCAACACATGCTGTGTCCCCCACCCCCAAATCGAACCGGGCAGAAGAATGATGCTCTCGAAAGTACTGTACTCTCCCATATTTCTATAGCAGGGATGCTAGTTCCTCTCTTTCTCTCGATCTCTCCTCCCTCTTTCTCTCACTTTTCACTCCTCTCTCCATTCTCTCTCTCTCCTATTTCTCACTTTCCCCTCCCTTTCTACCTCTATTCCAAGCCTCCGTTGCTGTTGGTCATTCCTACAAATCGGCTGACTTTTTTACTGTTAGCCTTTTAGTTATTTTTGTTTGGTCTAATGTGGTTTCAATGTCTTTTTAATTAGTTTGCCGTTTATTCGCTTGTTTTCCGTTTGTTTGTTTCTATTTGTGTCCGCACTATTCTATGAAGGAAAGACTCCCAAGGAGAAGCCGTGGCCGTTTGTGATTTGGGGACAACGGTTCATCGGCTTGAAAGGAGGGGGTAGTGAATTGGTTTTTATTCTTATGAAGATTAATCTGAAATGCAACAAATTATGTAGTGTTGTTAGAGGCACTATAATGTTACGGTTCACTTTTTAAAGAAATGTATTTTACCCCTTTTTTCTCCCAATTTCAATCTTGTCTCATCGCTGCAATTCCCCAACGGGCTTGGGAGAGGCGAAGGTCGAGTCGTGCGTCCTCCGAAACATGACCCATCAAACCACGCTCCTTAACACCAGCACCAATGTGTCGGAGGAAATACCGTTCAACTGACGACCGAAGTCAGCTTGCAGGTGCCCGGCCTGCCACAAGGAGTCGCTAGAGCGCGATGAGCCAAGTAAAGCCCCACCGGCCAAACCCTCCCCTAACCTGGACGACACTAGGCCAATTGTGCACCGCCCTATGGGACTCCCGGTCCCATGTCTTGTGACACAGCCTAGGATCAAACCCGGGTCTGTAGTGACGGCTCAAGCACTGCGATGCAGGGCCTTAGAACGCTGCGCCACTCGGGAGGCCCATACGGTTCACTTTTTAAATAAACATTTTACCAACCCTCTTCAAAGAGGAAATAAGCTGCCTGGAAAAAAAGAATTATTGATATTTAATGATGTCCTATACATACCCTGAAGTGGTTTTCAACTGGAACAGCTAAGGTAGATTATGAGAATCGTGTGTGTCGTTGTGTGTGACAGTGACACCAAACTACTGTATATCGGTTGCCTTTTTTCTGTTATTTTTTGCGCATTTCATTGTCATCTTAATGAATTGTTCTGTTTTCTTTGTTTCTAATTTAAGTGTCATATCTTAATATATGTAACGGTTTGATGGTGAAGCTGCTCCACCAAATGTGTTTTGCTACTGATGTCAATGTGCAATAGAAGACTCCGAAAAGGAAAAGAGATTGTTGTGTATCTTCTGTGTCCCTACTATCGATAATGCTGGTATCCCTATTTGGCCTCTGTATGCCCTTCCTCTATTGGACGTTCTCACTCAGTAGGTGCTGTAAACCAATCAGAAGCGGTCTTACTCCATGGTGAGGAGCAGAGTGGCTCAGACCTATTGCACGCTGTATGTTCCCTGTTCCCATAATGCCTTTGCTAATGTAGCTGAAAGACCTGAGTCATGTTAGGAGCTCTGATTTCCCCCTTTTAAACTAACTGAACACACCAGCCTTGGTTTCAAGGTGTGAGCTCAATGGGAGGGGGTTGTTCAACAAGATGCTTTGGTGTGGTGTTCAGTTCACAGATCCTACTTCTGCTTTCATGTCTGCCGCCACCACCTGCCAAAAAGGTAACTCCTCGGTAGATGATTCTGAATGTATTTCAGGCTCGGTCTAAATGCTGTACTAAACGCTCCATACTCCAGAGGCCCCAAGAATTTAGTGATCTCCTCTGGCTGTTGAAATACTTTGAAGTGCATACTGACAAGTATGCAGTGTGTAGTGTTCAGCCAACAGTAGCATCAGGATGTCAGACAATCCCCCTGGTCTTTTCACCTCCTCACCCCCCCGTGCACGTATACATTCTGATCGCTGTATGAAGACTGATGCACTCCTTTCCCCCCGCTGCTTTTATGTGGTGAACACTGCAGTACTGCAATAAAGCATTTTTCACAATCGTTTTGTTTGTCACCTCATGCAATTTCACCCCTGTAGTTTCACGCTGTCGTTTGGACAATCTATCCATATTTTTATTTGGTCTTGTTGAGTACTTCCCCTCATACTGTATCAGTGTCCCTCACACGTGACCATCGAGGATCCTTGTATGTGTGTATGTGCTTTGAAGTGACATTTCTAAAGAAAAAATAAGTACCGTAATTTTCGGACTATAAGCCGCGCCTTTTTTCCCATTTTTCGACCCTGCGGCTTATATAACGGTGCGGCTAATCTATGGATTTTTACAGCTAACGGCCACTAGAAGACCTCCTAAATCTATGGATTTTACAGGTTACAGTCCACCAACTTTAACTCTATGGGCTCTATGACCGGTCCGCGCCCCCCACCTTTAAGCGGCGGGCTCCAGCAGGAAAAGCTGGAGGCCGGAAAAGAGTGAGACAGGTAGCGCGCAAAAGTAAAAGTGGAACCGAGAGTGGTACGAGAGACAGAACGAGAGACAGAACGAGAGCAAGACAGACAGACATTACGAGAGCGAGACAGTTTGTCTCTTTCCCGACAATCCCCTCTGTGCACGAACCCTTACATATGGTAATGAAACATTAAAACACCTGCGGCTTATAGTCCAGTGCGCCTTATATATGTACACATCATTCAATATCATTCAATTTAGCTGCTGCGGCTTATACTCCGGTGCGCCTTATAGTGCGGAAAATACGGTATTCTGTTAGGTACTGAATGTTACAGGGTGAGGGTGTGTGTGTCCTACCCAGCCCAATAATCAATCAGAAAGAACTACAGGAAGTATACTCACTCCTTAGGCTGGGAAGTCATAAATCCGACATGAATGTGTTCACGTGCCTTTGAAGTCGAAGAATTCTTCAACCAATAAGATTTTGGCTAGCTTGATAAGCTAGTTGACATTGCTAATAATAAAGTTGGCTAGCTTGCTTAACATTGACATATGGTCAAACTAGCTAATTTCTCCATATTGATAAGGTTGTAATTGTCAACTGATTTGTTATCCTCTTTTGGCAAGAAAAGGTAATGGTCAGTGATGAAACATCACAACCTCTGCAACTTGGGTAATAACATTTTTCTCAAGTTTCCCGCTTGTAATTCCGACTTAGAGAGTCGTTCAAGTTAAATTTCCCACTGGGAACTAGGAGCTTCCGGTAACTCTGATAACACGTGAATGCGCCATATATCACAGAAGTGCAACCTGGTAAGCATAAATGTCTCTGAGTCCATTGTTCCCCTGTTATAAATTATTAGAAATAATCTGCCCTCGCCTTGAAATTGGATAATAAAGGCGTTATGAGTTATCTGTCCATGTAATTTGTTGTAAATCAGATTTTCTTGATGCTTTGTTTTGCATTTTCAGTTTGACTATGTCCTCTTGTTTTAATGTGATGTTCCAATGGACCCTTTTCTGTTGTATAGAACTAGAGTTGGACTTGGGTGGGAGGGCAGCAGGGTCAAAACTGGAACTGTATTTCACTTGAAGTGTATATAACTATTGTTTTATTAAATAAAAAGATCTCTTAATACCTGTGTACAACTTGATTGACCATGTTATTACCTTTTATCTGTACTACTTATGTGTGTTTTGTAATTGTTTTTCCATAGTTGCAGAGCAAGTGATCTCCAGGAAACTGCTTCATAGCCTTAGACGGTGTAGAGCAGGGGTATTCAGCTCTTACCCTACGAGGTCCGGAGCATGCTGGTTTTCTGTTCTACCTGATAAGTAATTGCACCCACCTGGTGTTCCAGGTATAAATCAGACCTGCTGATTAGAGGGGAACATTTTTAAAAAACAGTGGAACTGGTCAATAACTTCAGACCATATGTATCACACTGATGCTGAGTTTTTAGGCAATGTGTGCTACAAATGGCCTTGTTCGACAGCATCAAATCCAGGTGGGTTGTACATCAGTCAGTAGGCAGTCACTTGCACTGTCGAACAAGCCCAATCACTTCACTTACAAACAAATGGCCTTGTTCGACAGCATCAAATCCGGGTGGGTTGTACATAATTTTTATATTTACATTGTAGTCATTTAGCAGACGCTCTTACAGTTAGTGAGTGCATACATTTTTCTTTTTTTTTGCAAACAACTTACGTCAAACCTTTGAGCAAAGAGGCAGACCTGTGCAAGCCATCCGCTGTGGGCTAACCACACATGCATTTCCTTCAAAACACTGTAACTCTGGGGGGGGGGGGGGGGGGTTCTACCTTTGAGATGGAGTGGAAACTTTTGTCACCTACACCCACCCCCACCCCACCCCTCCTCCAATGATATATAGGGCAAAAGACTGTCCTGAGTTTAGAACCTCTTTACAGTTGCTGAGGTGTTAACAGTATTGGTCATCTTCTACTCATCATCCTCTGTGGAATCAACCAATCATGCGGTCCACTCAGATCCTTCTCCTGCTGTGCATCCTGGGAGCAGCCCTGTGCTCCGCTGCGTTGACCAACAGTAAGTTATCCCTGCATCTCCTCGATGAGATTTAAAATAAAATCAATCTTTCGCCTCAGAAACCATCAGGGTCCATATTCATAAAGTGTCTGAGTACGAGTGCTGATCTAGGATCTGTTTGGCATTCTAGATTATAATGAATAACATTAAATGGACAGGG